CCCCAAAACCCCAAAACCCCATCAGGAATACCTATAATAACTGGTGAATTAGCAAAAATAATTAATTACTATTTATTTATCATCCCATTTAATATTAGAGATATATTTATTATAAATTATTGATTGATGAAAGTGCTACTCATTCTCTTCTTGATTTTTTTCATTTAAACTTAAATATCCCAAGGTAAATTTTGTGACTTTATTAGTAAAGGGCTAAGAGCAAAGTAACTTAAAAATAATCTTGAGCAAGTAAAAAAAGAGATTTCCAGCAAATAAGTAACAATGGGCCTATTGACAATACCTGCAACTGAAGAATCTTTTATATAATACCTGAATGCCTCTCAATACATTTTTGCTAATAACTATGTGTTTTTAATGAACTAAGACATCATCCCAGTTCTAATACCTTACAATGCAACTGATGAATTGCTAGATGAGTTGCTATCATCAGTGAATGGAGTGTTTCTAACTGGAGGTAACATTGATCTAATAGACTCAGAGACTGGGTAGAAACACCGTTACATGGTAACAGCAGAAAAAGTTATATAGTATAGCATTAAAAAATTCAACAATAACGAGATTTTTCCAATATTTGGAGTATGCTAAGGATTTTAATTGATTAATTTAGCTTTTGGGTTTGATGAGAGTGAGTCTAGTAGCTTTTCTAGATTAAATAGTTACAAGATATCTAATACTTAGACGAATGCTAATTTAAGTTAAAATGCTGAGAGGGATAGCAAATTATTTAGTTATTTTAGTAATGATGTATTATAAGCTATTTAAGCAAAGAATATTCTCTATCATGAACATTAGTATTCCGTATTTACTTCTGACTATGATAAATATGCAGGATTAAATAGAAACTTGAAAATTACTAGTACCTATACAGGTAATGATGGAACAGAAATAGTTGTTTCTGTTGAACATTAAATATACCCTATCTATGGTATGATTAATCACCCTGAAATTGTATTTGATAAAACTATTGATATCAATGTTAGCAGAAGTCCAATACAATTCAAGTTTGCAAAACAAGTTGCATAGTTCTTAAAATAAATGTGCCAGAAAAGCACCTAGTAATTTCAATCATAAGACTTCCTAAATTAATGGAAAGTAGAAAATAGCATTCCAGGCCAGTTAGGCTTTATTTATTATTTTTCTGACACTTTTGGAATAAATTATGAAGGATGAGATGCTATCGGTATAAATTCACTTTCACTAATTCCCTATTTTTGAGGTTAACTTTACTTTTAATTCAATTTATTAGAATTCTAAATCTATGGAAGTATGGGGTTTTGGGGTTTTGGGGAGATCGGA